AACTCCCTTGAGAATCTTAGCACAATCCTAACGACAAATTCATCAAGGGAAATTCATTCTCCCATTTTTTCACAACTATACCTAATTAATACTGCATAATATTACATGACGATATCATTGGAATTTATATATCAAAACGGCTTTATTAAACTATCATTCATAATTATATAATCTTGTTCCGCCTCACCTGTTTGAAATCATCGCTAGTAGCCGGTACAATACCAGGGCAATCAATGAGATATATCCTCTTAGTAAGAGCAACATACTGCCATACCTTCGTCTCACCTAAGCCAACGATCCTGCCCGCACAGATCTACAACATCCTTACCTGGCACAGGAGCCGCCTTGCAGACCTTCTTCCTCTTCAACGCGTTGATGACCGAGCTTTTGCCAACATTGGGGTAGCCGATCATGCCTATGGATACGTGCCTACATACACATGCGAAATCACAGTCAGATGTGCCGCCCTACTTCCTCTCTTTCAGCAACTGCGCAAACTGTCGTAACAATTGAAATAGAGCCGACTTTCCGAAAGGATTGGTCACACCTGAGGAGGAGGATCGATAATCGTTCCAAATCGACGATCAGCACGGTCTCCTCACTCGCATGGAAGGCTAGGGTGGGGAACTCCTTACTCAACACCTGTACCCAACGCTTGGTCGCCCACGTCGGTATAAGATCGCACTTATTGAGAATCTGAACTGCCAAATTCAACCTCCTCCCAACTGATGCTACCCTTACCAAGACGATATGCTTGTTCGGTCGAGTTCTTCTGATTTCCCTCTCGAGCTTCTGGCATCTGATCAACCATCATAACAAGCGGCTTTTGAAACACTGTGGCGACGGACCTCGTTCCCATTGGATCGCGGGCGTCGATAACCTCAAGGATAACATCACTGGAGTCAACCACTTTATACAGCTCTTGCCAGATACGTCGAGATGTGCCCTTCTTGAACACCTCCTCATTCACGACAGTGTGTCTGTGATGAAAACGCTCCCAAGAAATCCATGCCTAGCCTGGCCGCCGCCACCACCCCCACTACTCTTCATCCCTGAGAACACGATTTTCCTCACAGCTCTTGTCCTTGCTGGGATCATAGTCCTCAGCCATACCTAAAGCACCATAACAAACCCCTCCTCATAAGGCGCTTCCTACGGCTAGCCTTGTTAGCCATCTCCTCCATACTGCCAGTGCTCAGACGTGGTCGCTTACGAGTCTTAGTCGACCCGAACGTCTTGTCAAAGCTGATGGGAACCACCATTCGTGATAGTTACCAAACTAGTTATGCCTACGGTTCCACAGCGAGGAGATTCTTCCGGGCGACCTTTCCTCGAGGTTGCTCACTCTCGTTCTGGCCTTCCGTCAACAACGACATCGGTAGTTTGGACGACTTCAATACCACCTGATGAACTCATGATCCAACAATGAAGTTTCACCCGTTTTACGTGAAGTGCCGTGATACTCTGCGAAAATAGTGATATTGGCGCTACGCAATAGTCGTGGAATATACATATTTTTCACCAATGTTCTCCATATCACGGGTAGAACTCCAATATTCGACATATCATATCACCGAAAGGATATGAGAAAAATGACGTGTTGCCGACGACAGAAGTTGATTCAATGAGATCAGCGATCCGATCGCCGGCTAGAAACTGAATAGTGTCAAAATTAAAACTGCATCGTGACCTCTTAAGCGACGGAAAAATTGAGGCAAGCTCACGCAAGGAATACCTGGAAAGGGTCATTCACGCTCTGGCCAATTTCCTCTCTGAACTTCTGCAACTTTTGCTGACTCAAAACGCGTGTGTTGCCGAACCATCGACGATCGGGGGCGATCCGAGCCGGCCCAGTTGGCTGGATTTTACGCTGAAAATTACACGCTGAATGACACCCTCAATTCTCAAAGATAATACTTTATTCAAATCGGCCTTCTTCAGCTTCTGACTGTACATGTTAAGTCGCTTGATCGTATTCTTAGAGCGCATAAACCCCGGAGAGTTACTCGCGGTTTTCCTGAATACTGGGATTAACCTGTGGACCCTCTCCTCTCGAGTATTACCTGTCGGGATTAGTACTGGCATTGCCAGGATTGAACGCCTTCCCTTGCCCTCTCGACTTGGCGCCTCCTAAACCCTTGTGCCTCGTCTGTTTGGCCATTGACGAGGGAAGTACCCGACGGATAACTTTAAAATTATAATGCTACCTCTCGATTTTTCAAGTTCCCATCGAGCGTTTCAACCGTCCCCGACGATCTCCCATTCCCCGAGGATCGAAGACTGCACTAATATGATCAACCTCAGTCCAAGACAATAGATGTTATCCGAAAATGTATAAGGGATATCTCACTTGATTCCCGAAACGAATCAGCAGTTTGCGTGTCGACGAATTTGGCCCCTTGATAATCGATCATTTGGGCGCGCGCTAGTCTAAAAGTGCTGAACTGTCGAATATAACAACGGAGGCTCTCAATAGCAATGTTCTTGATACCACTTGGTCCTTCTAGAGTGATACTATACCACTGCTTGCTCCTGCGAACTTACACTTCGTGATTTGTCTGAATCTTCGTCTGAGATCGGAGTCTGAGATCGGAGTCTGAGTTGCTCTCTGCGCCGTACTGTGTCCTGTCCGGCCGAAGTCAATTTTGATGCTTTACGTGTTCGAGTCAGGGTATCCTCTCATCGTATACCGCAATGGTTAACCTAGTGCGTGTGAGTGCCCGTGCCGTGGGCCCTATGCGCCCCAACACCAAGCGTGATATCAGACGACTCGGAAGCTATCCAGTTCCCCCTGAATCGAAGAACTTCTGGCGAGGACGTTTTCAGGTAGGTATATTATACAATCGTTTCATGCTGCAAGTACCCCGATGATTACCAGGTGCCCGGTGGACAAATCCAACAAGGCGTTTCGCCGATGCAACAGAAGATCTTCTTCCAGTGGTGGTGGAACCTCCCAACCCGGTAGATGTCTCTGAGTGTGAAGTCTTGGACGCTCTGCCATAATCAGTTACTTCTGGCGTTTTACGAAGTGGTCCGACTTCCTCATACCCTCCCTTATGTGGTATACAGGCTTCTTGATGTGCAAGAACGATGTAGAGGAGGGAACTCGATCGAGGTGAGCCGTTAGTCTATGTTCGTATATCCTCTGGTTCACCCCTGTATTGATAGGTACTGGTACTAACTTCTGCTACTACCTCCTCGTTCATGTGGGAAGAACATCTTAGCAAATCGTCTGATGGCTGTCATCATGGCCGCTGTCTTTCGTCACAATACCATTTCTTTTTCTCATAACATGTTAGTGGATATGGTCAGAGATATTGAGAATAATTTTGGCAGCATAGTAACGGTTATTATCCGCTCTGATCTGCTGAGCCTTGCGTGATCGAGTAAAGTTCACATGGCGTATATGGTCACACTCTCTAGAACGATATTTCAGGGGAAGACTTGTTCGATTGTTAACTGCAACAGTTTCCTAAACTCAACATTCACTTGGGAGCACGAGTCTGAAATTCTCTAGTTGGTGTTGGTGATGGATGTATGGCAGTCTTCTGGAACGTAAAATACCCAAGCAACGACAGTATATGAAGAAGCATTTCATATACCTTTTTCAATTCAATAACTAGAGAGAGCTCAGTGGATGACATTGCTCCCACCTTCCCCATTGCTGTAGACCCAACTAAGTGTTCAACATGATACGAATATTCCATTAGCCTTCTTGCAAGTAATGTATCCATCATCATTGGAGAACTCAATTGTCCATCTCAGCCCCGCCTGCTACTTGAACTCCCCTGAATACAGCACGAGACTCAATGCGGCCCGCAACGGCTCTTAGTGATTTGGAGTTCTTACGAGACTTTCGATGATGTCTATCGGTGCTAAACTTAATAGTGGTTTGTTGTGTGGTGATACAGAGTCTTCTGACAATAGCATCACAATCTATGAAGGTCAATTTATTGGGCTAGGTCAACAAGCGAGCGAATGGTTTGTGTTGTGGTTGGGGTTTTGGATGGATAAGCATTCAGTTATCATTTAGTTAATGGGGACTTTCCTGAACCCACCCACCCGCATCCAGTTAAAGTTAGTTTGGGAGGCACGAGTAGTCAAGCGAGGGTCGTCAGCCAGAGAGTATCGACCTGACTCACTGTGGCTGGTTAGAGATTCATGTAACCTCGCTACCACTACTCGCGCGGAGCGAAGCATCCACTGTTGCAATTTTGGGAATGATTATTCGCAGAATTTCGCGGTTGGGACTTTCGGGTCCCACTCGAT